ATAAGCCTGGATGGTGAATGTGTGTTCCTTATGCGCCTCACAATCCACTGGTTCCTTAGCCCGGATCAGCCCCTCACCTGTAGCTTTGTCCAAGATCACAGCTTCAAAGGGCACCCCTGCCCCATGGATCCGGAAGCCACAGATTAAAGAGGAAGGGGAGGAAGGAAAAGCCTGAGGAGAGCAATAATTTTCCTTCCCTTGTGACCCTTTTCCCTGTTCTCCTTTCGTTGTGCACCTGCATCCTTGCAGTATGTCCCCTCGCTTCCCTCTCCTATATTTTCTTCCTTTGCAAGTGACAGTCTCTTTCCTTCCTCACTATCACCTCTCGTTGTGGTGCAGCTTTTGGTTCCCTAGGAGTTCCTCCTACCATCTCTTGCAGCCATTTATGGTGTAGATTGCCCTCTGCTGGAGACTATTCCCACGGTAAGGAGACAGCCAGCATCAGTAAAGATTGGAGGTTACAAGGCTCAAGCTAGAGCTCTGTTAAGTCTGTACAGTCACAGTACTGAGGTAACACCTTGCAATCATTATTTCTCTTCTCCACCCCTCAAGTGAGGCAAAACAGGCCATTCATTGCAGATAGACAGCCTATACAGATCCATCATGTCTCATCCACCCCCACACAGGATGCGCACAGTACTTCGGGGAACTATAGATGGGGTCACCTAAATCCTGAAGTTCAGCTCTCAGGGACCACGTTTTCTCTCCCAAAGCTGAGAGAGAAGGCATAAGGAAGCTCCAGGCACAGCCTAAGCAAGCACTGAGGAAAAAAAAAACTTGGAGAAACCTTGGCTGAATTTTCAGAGATTTCTACTCACTGTGAGGGAGGTGGATCTGCAGACAAAGTGTGCCCTAGCAGCTTTCTTCACCATTCACAGAAACAGGACTGTGCATGTGATCTTTGTAAATAGCAGAATTGCATCAACAAGTAGCTGGCTCCACCCTCAATTTCTCTCCCAAATGGAAACAGCTCATGGCATCCTAAATCAAGGTACATCCAAAATTGTCTTTAGACTTTTCTGGGGAGCTCCTCCAGAATAAGATTTGGAGGTGGTCATTTTCTGAACAGAGTTAGAATCTGGCACGGGAATGAATTTGACCCCGTCTCTGTCTTTTCGGAGCTCTCCTCCTGCTTCCCACCCTTCCCAAATCTGTTACCCACGTACCTGCATAGCGCAGCGGAGCATCTTTGTCCAGTGCAAATAGCGGTGGGTTGAGCAGGACTGTGTTATCATTCTCCATAACGATGCCCTGATACTCGGCTTCAATCCAGGGCTTGTGCTTATTTGCTGAGATGGATTTGGGGGAAGGGACGGAGCACAGGATTGTGTTAGCCGCAAATGACAGATTTAGTAGAAAAAGAGTAGACTATCATCCACTGGCAAATGACAATCACCCCTCCCCACTTTCTTCTCTGGCAATAAAGAAGGCTAAAAATAGGTTGGGAGGAAGGAGTTATCTTTCTTTAGTTCTACCCTACCTCACTCTTGGGAGACCTCATCAGAAATAATTGTGTTCCTTCTGGCCTCCTCATTACTATCTTGTTAGACATGTGTGGAGAGACATTTGGGGGCCCAGGAAGGCTGGAGGGATTAAAAAAAAAAAAAAACAAAAATCAAGAAAGAGAAGTAGCCTGGTTTTGGGGACAGATTCCAAACGCTAAATCCTTTAGCTCACTGAAGCCATAATTAAAGGATTCAGGATACATTTTCCCTTGGGGTGTCCCCCGGGGACAAGCCTTGTGTGCAGCCATTAACACTCCTGCCTTGCATCCTCTGGGCTAAGGTGCAGGATCCACACATACACCCCCCAGGCCCTCTCTCAGTCAGTCTTCTTATGCATGTAACAATCTAGTCTCAGAGTCCCTTGCTCCTTCCTTCCTTACTCCATGGCGAGTACCATATTCCCTTGGCCCCTCCTTGCTAATCCCGTTGGCTGGAGCCCAGCCAGGTTTGGCATTGAGGCAGCAACCAGCAGGAGGCTCCGAAAAATGTCACAGGCCCAGAAATAGCAAATTAATCTTTATCACATAGGCTCCAGGAAAGGGAAAGGGAGAAATAAAGGGGTGGGGGGAAGGGAGGGAAGAGAGAAGAAAAATCAGTACAAATCTGTGAAATTAACCCCCCTCCCCTCCCCCATGCCCACTCCCTGCCAAATGGGCCTCAGAGATTATAGTACATGGCCTAGTTACAACCCTCATTCCCAGATAATCCCCCACTCTCCCACCCCGTGGAGACCAAGATTTATTACAACCAGGCAATTCTTTGAGCACAGCATGGCTCAGAGTGGGTGGAGAATACAATACAGAGCCTTTCCCCTCAAGGGCACTACTTCCAATATGTGAATCCATTCTCTGCAGCAGAGTACCCTCTGGCACCATACTGGGAATGGGGTTAAGTATTGACTCAAAAGGGACAACATCCATTACAAACTCAGCCACAGTCACTTCTGCAAATCCGGACCAAGGGATGTTGCTGCAGCAGAGCGGTGGGTCAGCAGGCAGGGCTATGGGTCAGAGTGAGGATATACCAGCAGGGCAGAGCCAGCAGACCCAGCCTGGCATAGCAGGAAAGGCTGGAGGTTTGGATTTCTCTCTCGCCATATTGATTAAGATTATAAAGCATTGCGCAGGAAAACCAGAGAAACATCCATCCTGCTCAGCACGCTGGCAGAATTCTTCCTGTGTGCAAATGTCCACATTTCCCCCGACTCCTCCACTGCCCCCACCAGATTCCTCTCTGTGACGGTTCTAGTCCACGCACCACACCACTGAGGTGGGAATCCATAGCTACAGATGCCAAAAATGCCCTGTTGCTGGGGTAACAAGCTGGTGGTAGAGGGATAAAGCCTTTGCTGCATCCACCTGCAACTTGGGAATCACCAGCCTGGTTTCTTGGGAAGGGAGTTCCTGGAGATTAGAAAAATAGACTCCCACCAGCTTCAAGAAAGCTCTTACATGACTAAAATCATTTGCCAAAGGTAGACAGATGTTTCACAGAGTGCAGATTCACAAAGGAGAGAGAAAAAACAGAGCATAAGGGGCCTTGCCTTGCAACTGGGCCCCACAGCACTAGAGTAATACAAATAAATACCCCTGCCAATATCAGCATACACAGAGCTCTGCGTTGCACCCGCTGTCTGCAGCCGGAACTAGCCCTGCCTCCGATGAAGCACAGAAAGCACCTTAAAATGTCACATTCCCTGATGACCCTTTAGTGCATTGCACGTTTTCAGAGTCCCCCACCCTGTCAGGTTGTCTCACTGCCTCCCCTAGAATGGATTTCTTGTATCTGTGCCTACAGCCACCGATCTAGGAACCTACATCTTTCTCCATCCCTCTATGTGTTCAAAGAACATCTGCATTCAGAATGCTCTGGAGTGGTAGCATTGGGGGGGGGGTTGTTATTATTTAGCACATAAAATACAGTTTTATGTAAGCAGCTTGTATAGGCAACACGTAACTGTGTAATAATTCCTATAGGCAGATCCCAGACGCAAGAACTAGGCTTGAAAGATGGATGTAGGGGACGGGTTTTGGAAAACCAGAGGGGTCTGTGGAGAAGCAACACATTCTCTCTCTCTCAGCATGCTAAGGGAGGGAGGGAAAGCTAAACCCACAGAGCAAGAACTGAGACAAAAGCAAGACCAGTGGGTGGAAAAAGGGGAAAGGAGGAGAGCACACTGAAAGAAGAGAATGTAGAAAAAGAGTGGAAAGAGACAGATGGAGCGGGTAGCTGAAGAGAGAGAAGGGAGGGTAGGAGAGTGCCTGCAAGGCAGCGAAAACCCGAGGTGCGGGAGGGAGGGAAAGCTAAACCCACAGAGCAAGAACTGAGACAAAAGCAAGACCAGTGGGTGGAAAAAGGGGAAAGGAGGAGAGCACACTGAAAGAAGAGAATGTAGAAAAAGAGTGGAAAGAGACAGATGGAGCGGGTAGCTGAAGAGAGAGAAGGGAGGGTAGGAGAGTGCCTGCAAGGCAGCGAAAACCCGAGGTGCTGAGGGCCAGCGGAGACAGAAACGTGCCGGGTGAAGGCGACTGCCAGCGCGGGAGCCACAC